GGTTTTTCTTTGGCTCTGGATTGAGACAAAAACAGCCGCAGCTGTGTAGGGAGAAAGGAACAGCCACTTTTGTTGACTTTGGGGATTCTATGAACTATTGATGGTTTTTTTGACCAAATTGAGAAGTGAAAAACAATTGCAATCTTCCAATCTCTTGTATGTTTCTTGCGTGAGAGAAGAGAGAAAGTAAAAGTGAGCCGCAATCGTGGACTTTGGTCATTGCTTTTCATTCTGGCTTTGACCGAAGGAAATTGAAGCAATCGTAATCCATTGTCGCCCTTTTCTCTCTTCGGTTGACCGAAGTGAACGAAGGTCAAGTCTTCCGTTTGCTGTGATTAAGGAATCGATGGCTTCTTCCAACCCTGTACACGCGGCCTGTTCAGTAATGGGGAACTAAACCCCTAATTCTAGTCAAGGGAACTACTGACGATTTGGTTCAGCAATTACTGTGAGATCGAATTTATTTTAACTATTCCCTCCATTTATTAATATTTATATATTTCCGGTTTCTACTTGTTATAGCCTTATATATGATTGATTAGTGCGCAATAATTAATTGTTTATATAGGCTATTTTGCTATATAGGGGTAATTGAATCCGTAATTGTTCGTTATCTTTATCTCAGTAGCAACTGGCACAATTGGATTTGTGTCAGGGGAATATTTGATCTGGCTTGAATGAACCCTCGTAGCGTGTTTGTTAGTCAGGATTGGGCCTTTCTAATTACTAATGCAATCTAGAAATTGAATCCTACGGTCGTACCTAGGGTTGTTTTTGGGTTAGAGAAATAGCTAACGGTCGTACCTTGGCTATCGATAAATTAAGGAAGGGTTGGTTGTTTAGCGCGTGCGAGACAACTAGAACCAATCTATTAATAAAGGTTGGAATTATTTTTGCATCAATGATCAGTGCATGAACCATTTCTGAAGTATACCCTTGGCTAGAGTTTCTCTTAGTTATTTCTTTTAATTAATTATTTTCTGCATTTAATTTGTTCAGTTGGCTCTTGATACCAAAACCCCCCCCATTAATCTTGATTTGAAAAGGAACAAATATCTCTCCAGTCCCTGAGGAGACGACCCTGCTTACCACTGTCTACTAGTTAGGGAGTTCAGTTAAATAATTTATTCAGGTATATCGGATTAAGCAAACTCTTCGGGAACAGGGTGAATCAAGTAACCCATTGCACACCTAGAGTCCCTGCTCCAGTACTCGAATTGATTACTAGCTGTTTCAGGTGGTAGTTAGGATTAATTTATTATTATTGCACAGGTTCGGCACCTGTCAAACTTCTAGGAGCAAATGCTATTTAATCCACTTTAACCGTAACAAGCAAAACTGCTGCACTCCCACTATTGCTTCAATTTTATTTGACAAACAAACCAAGCAAATGTAAAAGCAACTTAAAAAGCATGAAGAGTTTAGGCTCAAATCTTTCTCTGCCCACATATATTTCAACATGACTTGATATATGCTCTACATGGTACACCAATTCATATAAGCTCATCCTTATTGACATAGACATAGTTATATACTTACATACACAATACACGAACACATACACTCCCCATCCTCCATCCCCCTCGCAACCCTGCCAACGCAATCACAGACACAAACACAAAGCAGATCTAAACTACTAGACAGAGAGTCTATAAAAGCCCTCACACCATCTCATCCTTCCTTGCAACACTCTTAAGCAAAGAAAAGCCAAGTTCTTACATTGTAGAACAAGATAAAAGGACTCCAACAAATCTACAGCTTCTCCACTCTGTCAAGTCCAGTTAATAACAGGGAAAATTTCAAGAACAGGGCATGCTCGAACCTTATTTGACAAAGAAAGCACAATGTTCGGCTATCTATAGAAGACCTTCATGCGTGAAATGTATTTTCGTGTACACATACTGGTACATTTTGTACAAACGTCAGTCCAAATGCCCTTCACATTTGGCCTAAAAACCTGAACCCTTTATTGATTAGGGCTTCAAGGGCGCCCTTTTCCATAATAATTCTACAGCAAATTGCAGGAAACAGAAGACAATGTGTATCTATCATCCAACAACGCAATAACCAATCTATCACAACAAATTTACTTCTTCCTCTTCCTCCTCATGTTTTCAAGCCAATAGTACCCAAATGATAGGTTGCATTTTAGTGGGTACTTTGGGCATTATTACACAATTAATTGACAAAATATTTTCGTTAATTAGGTGGATTCTACTGATATTTTGTTTTGGTGCTAATTGCAGGAATGATTGCTGAAAAGTGCTTAAATTCAACTTTTAGAAGATTCATCGGACGTGGGGCCCGTTTGAGAAGCTGAAGAAACCTAATTGTAATAGATTTTATTTTAATATATTTTAGGGAGTCTGGTTGCAAATTTGGAGAAGTAACAATTTTTCGGCTATTGTGGGGATTGTATTTTATCTCTCGCGCGGCTTAGGTTAAGGAGGGTTTTTTTCTTTGTTTTTGGATGACACGGGAGAACCGCAGCTTTGCAGGAGAAACGGCAGAGACAGAGGGCCACCATTCTTGACTTCTGTACTTTCTCTTTTCCATCTTGTGTGGACTTTGAAAACTCAGGATTTGGTTGACTGAAATTGGGAAATCAATGAATTGAGGAACCTCTTTTCTCTCGTGTATCTTACTCAGCAAATAGGAAAAGAAAATAAGGGCCGCAATTGTTGACTATTAGCTTTGCTTTCCAATTGGTTTTGACCGGCATTGAAGTAGGGCCTCAGACCCTCGTTTGCGTTGTTCTTTTTGGAGACAATTGGAGGCGATAAAATCTTGTGTTTCTTCCTCCTGGGGTTGACCGGAGTGGGAGAACCGACTTGCGTACCTTTCCCCCTCCCACACGCGCGGTTTGTCCTTCATTAATGGCGGGCTAATTCGCTAATTCTAGACAAGGGGGCAACTGATGAATTGGTTCAACTAATACTGTGAGATCTAAACTATTGTTGATTGTTCTCTTCATTTATTGATATTTACATGTTCCTTGCTTTCAATCGCTATAGCTTTGTGTATGATTGGTTAGTGCGCAATAATTAATTGTTCACATAGGCTATTTTGCTATATAGGGGTAATTGAATCCGTAATTGTTCATTATCTCTATCCCACACTACAAGAAAATTGTTCATCAGTGACAACACAAAGTCATCACAGAACATACAAATATCGTCACAAATACCTTTTATTGACGACTTTTTAATCGTCACAAAGTCGTCACTAAATCCCCGTGGGTAAAAGTAAACAGTGACGACATTAGTTCTCATTAGTGACGACTTTAAGTAGAGCATTTTTGACAAAAGATCAAGTCGTCAATAAAACACTTCCAGATTGTCGTCACTAATGACAACTATTTAGTGACGACCTAAAATGTCGTCACTAAATAGTTGTCATTAGTGACAACAATCCGGAAGTATTTTATTGACGAATTGACCTTTTGTCAAAAATGCTCTACTTAAGGTCGTCACTAAAAAGCACCGAAAGCCATTGTATATAACTATTTTACTGACAACAATTGTCGTCACAAATTTAGCTTAGATTTAGTGACAATCTCTGTTGTGACAAGGAGTTTTTATTTTCTATTTTATGACAACTTGTTTTTGTCATTAGATAATTTCTCAATAGCTTAATAGTCATAATTTGGCCTGTAATCATTGCTAAATCATTGATTTTAAACAAACCATACAAATAAACATGAACGATTGATAACCAAAAGTATTTGCATTAGATTACATGGTAATAATATAGCATTCTCAAATGCCAAATTCAAGTGTACATTACCCAACTAATGCCTACAAAAATAACATTTGTCCAAAATATCACTTGTACATAAGGTACATTTACAAAAGCAATCACAGTTTAAGAAATTGAAGAACATTTAAATGAACCACTCCATGAGCAAAAGGCAATTTTGTCTTCAACATTCTTCAACCATAACCATAGATATCTTCCAAAAGCTAGTATGAATAGCATTTATCTGTCATAAAAGAGTAAAAGAAGTAGGTAAGGGGAGGAGTACAATAATAAAGAACAAGTAATGAGACTTAGATTATTAAGACAAAAATTACAATTCATTAAGAACCTCATATAATTTGGGCCCACATATTACAACACCAGCAAGAAGTTAGAAATCACAGTCCAATCTATACAAATACTAGGGTCTGCTTCCCACGCAAGGCGTGGGAGCTTGAGACCTGTTAGTAAGGTTCCCTCCCATGCAAAAGCAGTATATATTAGTTGATAAGAGCAGTTAAGTATTGATTGAAAATATCCTTGGTTAACACGCAAAAGCAATATACATTATTAGTTTATAAGAGCAGCTATGTACTGATACAAAAAATGGAGTAACGGCAGTTGATTCTGTAGTGAATATTTTCTCCTGAATGATAGCCTTTGGCTAACATTTTCTATTGAATAATAACTACAGTAGCGCGATGCGAAGGCACGTTAAAAGGCATAAATCAATATATCATGATGCATGCTTTATAGAGGGTTATAGAAACCTAAAAAGCAAAGGATAGCAATAAAGAATAATTAGGTTCTGTCTTCTTTAAAAATTGTTAAATCAATATAACTAAGGCTTTTGCTAAATTTTTACCACATCTTGACATCATCTCTCTTCTAATATACCACAGTACAGATTATCCAAATGTGAATGTTGAAGATCTTGCAATTCTTCGAAACTAATATTTGTTGCACTTAGTAAAATGCTACCAAAATCCTGCAACACAGCTCTTGAAAGAGGGGAAAGAGGAGAAACAAAGTCCGCCTGATATTTGAAGTTAACCAGAAGTTGTAGCGTCAAAGCCCAAAGTGCCCTCAGAAATGTTTATGTGATACCCATTGAAGCAAACCATTATAACAGCAGGGTAATTAAAGCAAAGTCCATGTCCCATGGAATGAATTAAAAAGAACTAAAAGAAAGACACTTACCATGTCATCCTTCGCAAGGAATGCAGTTCCGATGAAGTATACGCAACAAATCAAAGCAGCAGTGACAAAGAGCTGCATAAATATGATCTAGCTTTTGGATCTGGCATGAGTGAAACCTGAAAAGGCAACAAATTAACTATCAGTACCCTAGAGACAGAAAGGTATCATTTCCATTTAGAGTTAATAAGAAGGTATCGAATTGTAACATCATATACAATTTCTTCAGCTATAACAAAAGTTATCATTGTCAACCCTCCCAAGTAAACTTCAGAGAGTCCAAAAAACCACTCTGGCTCCAAAATTGTTAAGGCCAATAAAAAGTTTCTGAAATCCTCAAAGATAAAGGGGACCATCAAACAAGCATTCAGAAAATGACAATTTTACAATATACTTACAGATGTAGCAATACGTCCCACATTACCAAAGGCAGCATGGCCAATATCCGGGTAAGTCTCGAGCCCAGGTTGACTGTCCAAACAGGAATGCAGGAGAATCCCAGTGTAGTAAGAAACAACAGCAAAGATAAACAGAATTGAGAGCCCAACCCATCCACCTTCTTTGACAGCACAAGTAGTTGAAAGAATTCCAACACCACAAAGAACATTTATGCCTGTGAAAAGTAAATGTACATAATTTTTATGTGTCTTCATTCACCATGAGCACATTAGCAGCTAAATGCAAAGGCAAAATCAGAATTGTCAAGGCCTTCAAACGGTTCTAGATGTTTCATGATAGTTTCTGATTTGATATTTTATTTCATTTTGCAAGGAACTGCAAGGACGAACTTCCTTACATCAGTGAAAAGGGAAAAGGATCAAATGTATAGGTAGAATATACATCTACAGATAGAAGAAAAGGATTTAGAATATTATGCAAGCCATCAAAGTTCTCAGTGAGTGAATAGATTATAGCAAATTTAGGCTTTTCTTTTTAATTTACAGTAAAGCGAGCAAGTTCATATTCCTACATCTAGAAGTTGAATAAGGACAGATTACTGAAGTACGAATCATCAACATTCACGTCAACATACAAGTTAATTATGCAGTTCCTCTGATAAATGCTTCTTTAATATTCCTGCATTTCTATGTAGATTGATGGATGTTCAATCAAATAAACCTACCATTCACCACAGCTTGTCCATATGAACTCTGGCTAGGAAGAGAAACCTCATGTGAGACCTTGGATGATTTCTTGTCAGCAGTTGCTTTTCTTAAGGAAGGCCTCCCTTGAATGGAGGGCAGCAGAGAATGTGAACTACGCCTTTCTGGTGGCCGACGTGCATCTGCTACTGGTGGTAATAGAGGTTTTGCGAAGAAGGGAGTACTTCAGGAGTGTATCTTCTTGTTAATGAATAAGAGATACATGAGCTGCCTAAACATGATAACGTAGGCGTCCCCAGGAAGTTAAGACTTGGAGATGGTACACTACTGTATAAATCGATGGACTGCCTGATACAAGGATATGAGATACCAAGCATTATCAACCAGAGTTTGAACACAGTCCAAGTGAGATGACTAATGTAACCATTTCTCAAATATATAATCCAGTTATGCAAGTTTAAAACAAATTAACAAAGAACCATTGGAATTGATTCTAAATCTTAAAAGCTAAGAGCGAAATTATTTGCAGCTGGTAGAATTGCACATGAGGGAGTGATGGTTGTACTTTTGATCAAACCAGTATTTTTTATCCTCTCCAAAAACAACTGAAAACCGATGCAAATAAGAAACGCTGGTACATGATTGGAGGAGGAGAGTGGATCTCTGGCACTTATTTCAATCAAAATATCTAGCAGACTGTCTAAAAGTTGGTATAGTTCTGGCCAGATGTTATGACACACAAGTTATGGAAATTGGTTCAGTCTTCCAGAATCAGCCGTTCGATGAAAGGTAATATCCAAAATATGGTTTCTACCATTGATAAATGTAGCAAGGACAAATACAACTCCTTCACTTCCAAAGATGGTTCACAGGGATTAACCACCAATCCCTCATGACGAAGGAAAATCTTTTCAATAGAGGCAGTACTCAGCAATATAAGTGCATCCTACCAAGTTCCACTAAGCTGAAGAAAGATCCAGGGAAGACATAAAATGCTCTGGCCTTTTGATAACATTACATAGCCTACCTTAAGCCCATAGCTATCCTTTACTGATGTTACTGGATCTATTCAAACTCATAAACTATTGATATTCATGGCCGAAACAGAATGAAAATACTTGAAGAAGCTTCAAAATATGAATGATGAAAGCATTTCAATCCCATTTCTAAATATCTCTCCTAGCCAAAAATGAATAGGTAAAGCTAAATATCTGGTACCATATAAATATAACAGCTTTCAAGAAACCAAGTGCTTCACTGCTAAATACAGAATCTGCACAACAAGAACAGAACAAACATAGAGAACACCATAGCTAGATGTAGAAAGAAACAAATATAGATATGTGCGATAAGATGATACTACCTGTAACTTTGAGGCCAAGAGGTGGTGATAGATTTGCTCTCCGGCCTTTCGTCCTCATTATCATTAGAATAACTGCTAGAATCAGAATTATTTCCATCTTCACTATTTTCTTTCTCCAGTGCCTAAAATCATTGCCAGCTGCAAAAAAGCTAAGCTCTTGAGAAGCCTAAAATCAGAACAAAATCCGCTTAGCATCAGAGGCAGCAACTAAAGTACAGAACAAAAGAGAGGGTTGCCCCTCTAGAATTCAACACTTCTATCTGTAACATTATTCAGCAATATAGCAGGTTGTTTACAGAATTTGGAATATTAAACATCTTTTATTGCTAATAACAACAAAGAAAACAAGATTGAGGCAACATTGGGAACATCTTATGTTTCACTTCTCATGGCTATATACTCTCATTCACGGAAAGAAAACAAGATTGACCAAGAAAACCGAAAAGTAGCATGTCGAATTCTCTCCAGCGGTGGATTTGCATATTTACCTTATATATGAAGCTTCATATTAACATACGAATGATGTTGAAAACTCAAAAACAGTGAATAGTATGTTATGCTCTTTCTTGATAAATAGCTAGAGAAAAAAAACTATTTTCCCAATTGTTTTGTCAAATAAAATCAAATTTCTCGACACAAGGGGACATTGATTCCATATTTGGAAAAATATATGCTTTGGACTGGCCAGAGTCTCTCTCAAATTAAAAAAACATAAAATCTCCTCTTTTGGTTCAAGATTTCCGTTCGGGCATTTTATCAAACACTAAATGGGCGTGAAAAACTTCAGCATATTGTGCTCAATTGAGGTTATGACTAGCCCAAAATTTGTTATAAACACGAGATAAATCAGTCCAATCGACACCTAGAGCCTGTATATTCTAAAACCATAAACAATCAACAAGAAAATTGTACTAACAGAGACACGGAAAACATGCTTTGGGAGCTCAGACGTTTGTGCTTGAATGGGAACTGAAGTTCAAAGAGGGAAGACGACTTACAGGGCTTTCTTGGTGAAATTCGCAGGTGGCAATGGATATCCGATGGGTGGTGACGGCTCGGTGAGTTGGAAATCTCCGCTGCTGTTGCTGCTCAAGCTATCCACGGAAGAGGAGCAGGTGGAGAAGAATTTGATGAGAGTCTCGACGTCGTAGCTGTTCTTGCCCTTTTCACCGAGAACAGAAAGGTTGCTGAGGATGAGTTTTTTTTTGGGCTTGGCGCGGACAGAGACGACGGTAAAGGGGAAGGGCTGTGGTGGAGGCGTTGGGCAGAAAAGGCTTGTATTAGAAGTGGGGAGGAGCAGAATGGGAAATGAGGGGTTTTTGTGGAGGATTCGTTTGGGGAAATTGGGGGGAATTTGAGGACGGATGGTGGAAAGAGAGTGGTGGCAGCCGGCAGCCGGTTGAGGTGGTGGGAAATTTGGCAGTGGTGATTGGAAAAATTTTTATCGGATGATTGAAGCTGAAACCCCCATTTCCCTTTTGTGTGTTTTTTTCGTTGCTTGTTTCCTCCATTTTTTGCTCAGCCCGCCGCCTGGTTCCTCTTTTCCCTCTACTTTTCCTTTTTATCCCTCGCGCCCTTCTTCTTTTTTCTTTCTTTCCCAGTTCGCCGAAGCTTTCATGCCCAAAACCTAGCCGCCCCTCTCTGTTTTTCTCCCTCTGCTCCCTTTGCTTAGCTTTCTTTCCCCTTTTTTTTTGTGTGTCCGAAGCCTCTCCTTACTCACTTTCTCCTTTGGCCCTAAAAACTCCATCTTTTCCTTTTTTCCTTTTTTCATTTTTTTCCCCCAAAAATTCCTTAAACTTACCAAGTGTCCCTAACATAAAAGAGACACTTGTCCAAATGCATGCCTCCCCACTTGTCACTTTCACTCTTTTTTTTTTCTTTTCTCTTTTTTTCCTTTTTTTCTTTGTTTTCTGAAATTTAGTATGAAGACAAAAAATAAAATAAGCCAGAACAAAAATAAAAAAAATAAAATAAAAAATAAAAAAACCCTAGAATTGAAACAAATAAACCTATTAAATTAATTAAACAAATAAAGTTAAAAAATCAAAAATTTGGTGTCTACAATGTAATTGAAAATAATAAAACTCAAATTATATGGTTATAACACAGTTTCAATAAAAATAATCATTTTCCCAACATTTGAGACCAATCATCATGCTTTTTTTTTATTTTTAATTTGGTTTGAAGCATAGATTTTATTGCTATAGTATTATTCTTTATTTTTTAGTACAAAAACACAAATTTTCATCAATATAGGTGGCAAAATTTGTTAATTACATATAAGTGAAAATATACTTTTATAATTTGCAAATATTTTAGCCCTGCAATTTTTTATAATTGCAGCACTAAAATACATCATTAATTGAAAATAACGAAAGTCAAATTCTATGGTTATAACAGACTTTCATTAAAAATAATCAAATGCTATTAATAAGACATTATAGTTAAGTCAAAATTAAAGAAAATTTAGTGATGACATAATGTTATCACTAATTTATTCAAGATTATAATGACAAGGAAAGTCGTCACTAATTAAATTGCTAGTTTTTAATATTGTCAATTGCTAGTTTTTAATACTTTTGTGAAAATATTGATAATGGTTGAGAAAATTTTGTTACATTACTGCAAGTGATAAATGTACTTTTGTTCTTTTTCAAACTTTTATTTTAATGTTTAATTTTGTTTAAAACTATTGTACTAGTATAGATTTGCAAGACAAAACTTAAGTTCTCAATAGTTAAAAAATTCATTATAGAGAAAACACAAAGTAGTAGTTGCAAAATGTGTATAAATTACAGATATTTTAATGTGTATAAATTACAGTTTATTTTAATGTTTAATTTTGTTTGAAACTATTTTACTAGTATAGATTTGCAAGACATAGATTTATGGGTAATTTCTTTTTTTTTTTGCTTTCACATATTTAATTTATGTTAAATACAAAACCTACCAGTTTCCCTTTCATAAAAATATTAGTGCAACACTTTTTGAATTTTACTTACAAACATTTATGTATTTAACATAAATTAAATGATTTAGAGTGAAATGCCCATAAAGAGCAGAATATTTGTTCATGTAATGGAAGAAACCCACAAAGAGTTGGTACTTTATGGGCCATTTCTTTTTTTAAAAAAATTTAATTTATGTTGAAAAGATAACCTGTCAGTTTTCGTTTTGTAAGAAATCAGTGTAACACTTTTTGAATTTTACTTACAAACATTTATAAATTTATCATAAATTATATGTTTGAGAGTAAAATGCCGAATAGATAATGCTCATTTGCCCATAAACTACACTCCCTGAAAGCTATTTTGTTAATTACTTTGTAGTACTTTGTTATTCCTTTGCTAATACTACTTGGCATGTAGTACAAAGGATAAATCTGGCATAAATTTCTTATTCCATTGATAAAAAGACCTGCCTGCCTTATAACTATTATAATGAAAGATATATCTTTAGAGTTTATAACAAATTATTACTTAAGTTTGAGAAAATTATAAAATATTTATGCATAGTTTATCAAGATACCATTCGCAATTTCCTAATAAAAAAATAGGGGCTAAATTGTAAAAGTTAGGGTGCCATAATAGAAATAATAAAATTGGTGTATTACATATGGGGGTTAAATTGCAAAAGTTAGAGTGCCATAGTAGAATTAATGAAATTGGTGAATTACATATGGGGCTAAATTACAAAAGTTAGGGAGTAATAATAGAATTAAAGAAATCGGTGTACTACATATGGGGCTAAATTGTAAAAGTTAAGGTATTATAATGGAATTAATGGAATTTTTTACAACATTTAGGGCTAAATCGCAAAAGTTAGGGTGGCACAGTAGAATTAATGAAAGTGACTTAGAAATAAGTACTTTAAACAGTGACGATTAATTCTTGTCACTAAATCCGAATCGGTAGAGTGACAGTGACGATATTAGAAGTTGTCACTATATAGATCATTTTAGTGACAACGTTTTTCAAGGTCGTCACTGAAGACTTAGTTGCTTTAAGCAATTATGACAACTTTCCTTGTCGTCACTAAACAACCACGTTTTGTGACAACTTTTGTCGTCACTAGAAAATGTTGTCACTAATGACCATATTTCTTGCAGTGTAGTTTGTGACGAAAATAACGGGTCGTCACTAAACATTTAGTTACTTTGATGCAATTGTGACAACTTTAGGTATCGCGACTAAAGAAGCTCCTTTTGTGACGACTTATTGTCATCACTACAAAATGTTGTCACTAATAACTTTTTTTTTTAGTGATCAGTGACGACAACAAAAAATCGTCCGTAAATAGGCCAAGCAATAGTGATGATGTTCTTAATGTCGTCACTATTGTGTGTTCTAAACACTCCCGCACTCTTGCTATGAGTTGGCTCCCATTAGAGGTTTGTGACGAGTTAGAAAGTTGTCAATAAAGGATATCCTTTTGTGACAACTTTTTTTCGTCACAGAGAAAAGTTGTCACTGATGACCAATTTTCTTGTAGTGCCAGTAGCAACTGGCATAATTGGATTTGTGTCAGGGGAATATTTGATCTGGCTTAAATAAACCCTCGTAGCGTGTTTGTTAGTTAGGATTGGACCTTTCTAATTATTAATGCAACCTAGAAATTAAATCCTACGTTCGTACCTAGGATTGTTTTTGGGTTAGAGAAATAGCTAACGGTCGTACCTTAGCTATCGATAAATTAAGGAAGGGTTGGTTGTTTATCGCGTGCATAACAACTATAACCAATCTATTAATAAATGTTGGGATAATTTTTGCATCAATGATCAGTGCATGAACCATTTCTGAAGTGCACCCTTGGCTAGAGTTTCTCTTAGTTATTTCTTTTAATTAATAATTTTCTGCATTTAATTTTTTTTAGTTGGCATTTGATACCAAAACCCCCCATTAATCCTGATTTGAAAAGAAACAAATTTCTCTCCAGTCCCTGAGGAGACGACCCTGCTTACCACTGTCTACTAGTTAGGGAATTCAGTTAAATAATTAATTCAGGTATATCGGATTAAGCAAACTCTTCGGGAACAGGGTGAATCAAGTAACCCATTGCACACCTAGAGTCCCTGCTCCAGTACTCGAATTGATTACTGACTGTTTCAGGTGGTAGTTAGGATTTATTTATTATTATTGCACAGGTTCGGCACCTGTCAATTTTTGGCGCCGTTGCCGGGGACTGG